TGTTTCTGTGGAACAGCAATGCTTAGCATCCACAGGTACACAGTTAAATACTGAAGTCTGGATTCTGTTGTCAAAGATACAGTGCTAGTGACTACATTGTTGAGATTCTCACAATACAAATAACCAAGAATGGCTGATTTGACATGAGCTTTAGTTTCACACACTTTCTCACTTTAAAAGCTATTGAAAATTGCCTTGTTAGAGTCATAGAGTTATAGTTTCTATACAGAAACAGGTCCTTTGGCCCATGCTGACCAGGTTTTCTAAATTGAGCTAGTCCCATTTGCCTGCACTTGGCCCATAAACTCTAAACCATTCCTATCCATATACCTCCATAGAATCCCTACAGTGTGGATCAGCCATTCAGCCCAACAAGTCCACACCAACTATTCAAAGAACATCCGACCCAGACTCATCCTCCACCCTATCCCTGTAACCCTGCATTTCCCATGGCTAATCCACATAACCTATACATCCCTGGGCACTATGGGGCAATTTAGCATGGCCAATCCACATCTGTAGAGTGTCGGAGGGAACTGGAGCACCCAGAGGAAACCCACGCAGACGGGGTGGGGGGGGGAGCAGAATGCGCAAACTCCATACAGACAGTCATCCAAGGCTGGAACTGAACTCAGGTCCCTGACACTGTGGCAACCGTGCTAACCAATGAGCCACTTTGCCGCCCCAAATGTCTTAAAAGTTGTAATTGTACCCACCTCTACCACTTTCTCTGGCAGCTCATTCCATATACACACCACAACCTGTGTGAAAAAGTTGCCCCTCAGGTCCCTTTTAAATCTTTCCCCTCTCACCTTAAATCTATGGCCCCTAGTTTTAGTTTTCCCTACCGTGGGGCAAAAGACCTTGGCTATTCACCCTATCTATGCCCCTCATGATTTTATAAACTTCTATAAGGTCACCCCTCAGCCTCCTACATTCCAGAGAATAAAGTCCCATCTAGATTTTCCTTATAACTTAAATCTTCCTGTTGAATGAGACAATTTAATGATTTACTCAACTATAAGTATTTCTGAACCATCTCTCGAGCACTTAAAAATTAATTTCATAAGCATTGAGTAGTGTTCCTTTCTAACATTCAAAATGGGGATGGTTATTTAAAATCATGACATCAGACACACACACACTTCTGTACAGTAGCCTATCAAGGAAACAAACAAACATCGGATAGAGTCAAAATCCAAACAAACCAAAGACATCTGTTACTCGAACCAGACTACAGTTACATGCATTTCATGCCCCAGAGGGTCCAATAACTGAACAGACTGCCATTTAATTTCAGCAGGAAGACCTCAGGCAGTAGTCTTTCCCCACCGCGCCTTGGCATCAGCTGCCCCAAGCTTTAGTGCGTCCCTCAGCACATAGTCCTGGACCTTGGAATGTGCCAGTCTGCAACACTTGGTTAGGGTCAACTCCTTGTTCTGGAAGACCAACAAGTTTCAGGCAAACCAAAGAGTGTCTTTCACTGAGTTAATGGTTCAAGTGCAGTTGATGCTGGTCTCAGTGTGTGTCCTGAGGACCAGACCATTGAGCACAGAGTCCTGTGGCACGTAGCTGTTTGGGACGAAGCTCGACAAAACCTGCTGCACCTTTCTCCAGACCTCCTTCGCAAAGGCACATTCCAGAAGGACGTGTGTGACGGTCTGTATACCCCCACAGCTGCTGTAAGAGCAGCGAGCAGTGGCGCAGAAAGACCTAGCATATATGAAGAGTCTCACAGGTAGTGCTTTTCTCACCACCAGCCAAGCTATGTCTTGGTATTTGCTGGAGAGTTCTAGTGACGAGGCATTCTGCCAAATGAATTTGACAGTCTGCTCAGGGAACCATGCGACAGGATCCATCCACTTCTTTTTCCACAGGGTCTCAAGGATGTTACGTACCAACCACTTCCTGATGGATGGGTGGTCAAAGATGCTTTTCTGTGCAAATTTCTCCACAAAGAACAGGTGATATAGAATGAACCAACTACATGGCAACGAGGTCAGTCCCATCCTTCACGACACCAGGGACAGGTAGAACCTCAGTACATTGTGACACGGTGTTTGCATACCAAGGGTCTATGCACAGTCTGATGCAGCTGCACACAAAAGGTGGCCATCAGGATGAACAGGGCATTGATTACGTTCTATCCCACTTATCCAGAGTTTTGTACATAGATTTTCTGCAGACACTGGTCCATTTTAGACTCTCCAGATGAAGTGGAAGATGGCTTGGGTGACTGTAACGGCACAGGTTCGGGCAATGGGCCAGACCACCATGTTCAACAACAGAGAGTGCTTCACACCAATGACCGCGTTTTAACCCACAATAGAGAGGGAGCAGTGCTCCCAAAAGACCAGTTTCTACCTCACCTTGGCAATACGCTCCTCCCAAGATTTTGTGCATGCCTTGGCCCTTCTGAACCCTATCCCTAGCACCTTCAGGTAATCTGTCCTGACGGTGAAGGTGACTAAGGATCCGTTGGCCTAGTTCCCAAAGATCATGGCCTCGCACTTTGGCTCCCGAGACCAGTTCAAACTGCTTGCAGATGCTAAAGATTCTGCACACTGAGCAAAAAACGGTGATGTCACCCATGCAGAGAGAGGCTGAGAGCTGCAGGCTTCCACTGCCTGGAATAGTCACCCCTCTCAGGCTTCCATCCTTCCTGACGGACTTAGCGAAAGGGTCTACACAACACACAAACAAGACAGAAAAGTGTGGGCAGCCCTGCCTCACTCCAGATCTGACTGGGAAGCTGTCTGATTCTTACCCATCGATCGAAACTGCACTAATGATGTTGGTGTAGAGCAGCCGGACCCAGTTGTGAATTCCCTCCCCAAAGCACGTTTTGGAGAGCATGTCCCACATGTATTGTGGGAAGCTTTGGTCCCCACACTACCAGAAGGACTTGGAAGCTTTGAAGAGAGTGCAGAGAAGGTTCTCCAGGATGCTGTTTTGAGGACATTGGATATGAGCAAAGGTTAAAAAGACTAGGATTGTTTTCACTGGAAAGACGGCAGCTGAGAGGAGACCTCACAGAAGTCTACAAAATTATGACAGGCATTGGTTGGATAGTCAGAGGCTTTTTTTTTCCAGGGTTGAAGTTTCAATTACAAGGGGACACAGATTCATGGTGAGAAGGGGAAAGTTTAAGGGAGATGCATAAGGGAAGTTTTTCACGCAGAGAGTGGTAGGAGCCTGGAATGCACTGTCAGAAGAGGTGGTGGAAGCAGGCACGTTGGTGACTTTTAAAAGCCATTTGGACAGTTACATGAACAGGGAGAGAATAGAGGGATACGAACAGAATAAGGGCAGAAGGCTTGTTTTTTAGATTAGTTAGGGCATGATGATTGGCACAGGCTTGAACGACCTGTTCCAGTGAAGTACTTCACTTTTGTTCTTTGCTTTCATGTACATGTGTGATATCCTGTCAAAAGCCTTCTTCTGCTCCAGGCTGCTGAGGCAGGAGTCCAACACCCTTATCCTGCATGCAGCCAATCATATCGCTGAAACAGGATTTTGTAGTCTGCATTCAGCAGCGTCACAGAAAGTTTACATCACAGAAAGAGGCCGTTTGGTCGCTGGAGTCTATGCCATTTTATAAATAAGCCACAACCTAATATCACTTTGCAATTTTTGTTAAAGTTAGGTCACATTTTAGTTTGTGCATGTCTCAATCTTAACTTGGCCTTGTGGAAAATAGTTCAGAAATGAATTATAAGCAAAGCTTTTTACTTCTTGGTATTTTTTCCCCCCCAAGGGAGTTTTGCAATCTGATTGGCTGGTCAGCCTGCTTGGTTGTTTTTGCTAGAGGCCGATAGATGTCGCCAATTAAAATTAAACCGGAATAGAGGAAATCAATACACCAAGAGTTTTCCAGAGTTCGATCCCTACACTGACCCTTCGCAAGTGACTGCAAGATCCAGCACACCACACCTTGCATTAATCTGCGGCTCATTTGAACCGTGACTTTGCAGCTACATGGTTTTGTTTTGTAATTAGGCACAACGTCAGGTCAGTTACTGCTAGTGTAACTAATTACTGCTGGTGTAAGTGTGTAGCTGCTGGTCAGTAGAAAATAATTTCACTTGTTGAGGAGGTTTGTACAGATTTGCAGCAGCTTGAAAATTCACATCTCCCCCTTCAGGTTACATGAACCCTGGAACTGATTTATTTTAACTTAAATAGCAGTGAGGATAAGGGCTGGTAATGAAATAAGATGGCCCAGATACAAAACGCAGAAATCTTAAAACACAACAATGTATCATTTGCCTTTCTTACCATATAGAACCTACTACAGGTTTGTTTAAAAATTAAAAACTTCATATCAATAATTAACAACCTAAAGGCGTTATCTTTGATTTGCCAAATGGTTCTTTGTCACAACTCCTTCAACTGAATAATTAGCCATGATTTTACAAAAACTCCAGTTTGAAAAAAAAGTTAGAACACACTGCATTGTTGCTTCTTGGATCCTCTAAGTGTTACAGGGTTATATCCGCACAACTGAAGAAACAAGTGCATTCAATAAATGTAGCAGCAGACTGCCCTCTAAATATAGCTCTCCATATAAACTGCACAGCATTGAAACTTAAACTATCTAATACCCTCTCCTTCCCGACTGACTATCTGGTGCTAACCATCTGCGGGAGATAGTTAACTAACAAACAGAAAGGGGGAAGAAAAATCACTTCCCTTCCCCGACCCCAAAACAGTAATGGCAAATTGTCTATTCTGTTGCCAAAGTGGTTAAAGCAGCTGTCATATAACAAATTTCTGACAACTTTGATCTTCTTCCATTAAGCGTTATAAATAACAGCAGACAGGAAGAAAGGAGTGTGACGTTTTGTGAAGTATCATAGCCAAGTGATAGTGTTGTGAACTCGCAGGACATGCGCTAAGGTTCCGGACGTTACACAGTTGTCATGAAACTGAAAGATCCAGGCTTACACTGCGCTACCTGGAGAGAGACGCCTCCTGACACTTGCTTATTAAAAGCTTACCTGTCGGATCTGGCGGCTACGGTCTCAACACTCTGGGCATCCTTGGCAGAGCTCCCCAGCTCGGTTTCAGCCATTGTTCTTTGCTGCACTGGGATTGTAGGGAGCACTGGGTTGTGTAGTTCAATGGGCAGGCGCTCCCCCATTACAGCAGCCCAGGAGCAGCATCTACGAGGACTACAACTCCCCAAAGGCCCTGCGCCAACTAGATGCTTCTTTGAAATAGCAACGCTAAATAAACATACAACTGTGTGAAACTACTCCCCCAACCCCCGTCACCCTCGCAAAATGTTGGGACGGGGAAGGGTTGGGCAACAACTGAAAAGCCTATCCTTGGAAAGTGACTACTTCATCTTCCTTATTGTGACCCAGCAGTTGTCATTAGAGAAGCTGGTTATTTTTAGTAACTACTGACCACACTACAAAAATGGGCCTAATTTTGTCTAGCGGTATATCGTTTAAATGCCTGGGATGTCCTGTTAATCTGGCTCGGAAAGAAGTGCAGAGGAGTTTGGTAGTTAGCAACTTTGCGTTTTTATTCACATTATTGTCGGTGCAGATTTGGATTGTAAGTCAAATGTGAAGCCCAGAGGGTAAAGCCAGTTAAAACAAAAAAAAAGTAATTATTGGAAATGAATATACAGGTCGTCCTGGGGCACTGTTCTGAGGTATATCAAATAAATCAGACTAGTATGTGTAATTTGCAAGTTTTACTGGTTTTTCCATGAAATAAATTATCAGGATATATTCAGGATAATAGAACTACTTCTAAATGAAAAATAATCATTGGCGAGATTTGATAGCAGGTTTAAAAATTAGACAGCTATATTTTCTTTCGTGGGATATGGGTGTGCTCATCACTTTTAAACTGAAGTGGCTCGCTAGTTCATTTCAGAGGTAGTTAAGGACAACATTGCCTGTAAAGGCTATTCACTTTCCTAGCCGGATCACTTAACCACTCCTTTGTCCAACTCTTTATTTGGGCTCTATCCCCACCTATTGTTTATTCCTTACTCCCTACCCCCACCCTGTCTTCTGCATATAAACCAACATTTTACATCCAGTTCTGAGGAAGGGTCACTCGAAACGTTAATTTGATTTCTCTCCACAGATGCTGCCAGACCTGCTGAGCTTTTCCAGCAACTTCCGTTTTTGTTATCGCCCGTATTTAACTTGCTGCTGTGCAGGCTTACGAGGTCCATGCATAACAGCAGCTTCTGGAAGCAGAAACAATGCACTGACATGCAGAGAGCTTGCTCCTGGCTGTGCAGCTTAGAGAGGACATTGGACAAGAATCAACCACATTGCCAAGAATCTGGAATCACGTGTTGTATAAGATAGTTAGTAAACTGACATCACAAGTTCCACTCATAAGGACATAAAGAACTGTGCCTGGGGGGAGCTAATCAGTTGTTTGATTGTTATTGTGCTAGTGCAAAGTCAAGCTGGCTACTTAAACTTAAGTTGAGCCTGATGTCTCACAAGAGATCAGATGCAATATAATTAGCTTTTAAGTAATATGTAATAAACTTTTATGGAAGCAAAATTTTGCAGCTGATGGAAATCTGAAATAAAAACAGAAAACACTGGAAAAACTCAGCAGGCCTGGCAGCATCTGTGGAGAGCAAAACGGAGACAAAGTTTCAAATCCAATAAGCCTCTTCAGAACTGAAGGTTTCCATACAGTCTACAACTGGTATGGAATTTAAGCAGAATGGGTCACTAGTAGAGAATGTCATGAGAGAGAGACCAAATACTTATAGAGTGGTAAGGCTGAAATTGATCTGAACAAAATGAAAGGTCCTAAGATATTTCATTGGAGTATTGACACCAAGTATGACACCAAGCGTCATATGAAATGTTAGTCAAATGACAAAAAGGTTCTCAAAATGTTTCAAGAAATGTCTACCTCGGACACAAAATGGAAAGTTGTAACATGGTAATACCAGAGTTTGGGCCTAAGAATCCAAAGGTGCTGCAAGAAACCTGGGAAATCCCTACATCAAGTTTCTTGGTTATTAACAAAAAACTAAAATACAATGACCAGTTGTACGATTCTTCACCAAGCATTGTTATATTCCCAGGCTACTGCAGTTGAAAGCTGACTTAGTGAGAAATTGTGGTTTGGGCTTTTATTGAGAAAATCAAAAAAGGTGGGCTTTCATAGAACTTCAGCCAACTGAGAATGGACAATTTGTTGTGTGGGAACACGAAGATAAACAGCTTCCTCATAGAGAAAACAATAGTGCCTTGATTCCTCGACAAATATGTTCATATATATTTCTTATGGCACCTTGGTATCAAGGTCATTATATTCTCACTGCATGGCACGGAAGCCTGAATATTTACTGTTACTTAAGCAGATATGGATGGTTCAATGACGAATTTTGTAATTGCTCCATTTAAGAGATTGCTAGGCAATGACTAGATTAATCAGTCTCCATGAATGCTACAGTTTGAAAATGATCCAAAAAGTGACTCCCCAAACAAAGATTTGTAACAGTTTTACTGCTTTGTATTGATTGATTGCAGTCCAGCGTGCATATACAGGAGATGGCTGTACTCAGAGCTTATTGGTAATACACCTTTTTTTAAAAAATGTATTCGCAGGATGTGCAAATATTTATTGCCCAGTTAAGAGTCAACTATATTGCTGTAGGTCTGGAATTACAGGTAGACCAGATGAATTTCCTCCCTAAAGGGCAGTAATGAACCAGATGGGTTTTCCATGGCAATAATTACCATTAAACTGTTAATCCATGTTTTTATTGAATTCAAATTTCACTATCTGCTATGGTGAGATTTGAACCCAGATCCCCACATATTATTTGGGTATCTGGATTAATAGTCTAGCAATAATACCTCTGGGTCATGCCTGTCCTTTTAGGTTCTAACATTTTGCCTAAGAGAGATTTATTTTTAAAAACATATTAAGAGAATGTGGATAAGTTCAAGGTTTTGTCAAAGGGAAATCATATTCAACCAATTTATTAGAGTTCTATGAAGAAGTAACTTGAGCTTCAGATAAAGGGGAACTAGCTGCACACATTATTGCTCAGATATTAACAGGTGTCAGGTTTTGCTGAATAAAATCTAACTGTTATGAATAAAGTTATCATTTTGAATCATTTCAGAGTCTGGAAAGGGACTCTGAAATTTGACTTCCTGAAGCTCATTTTCTAACAGTTCAGCTACTGATGTTACACAAAAATTCTGATTTAGTTATTTGTACTGCCAACCTGTTTGCTTCTTGTAGAATCTGATAGTTTATTCCCTGTTTGACAGGGCACTGAATTATGATAATCAAAGGTCTGTACAAATTGATTTGTTAAATCAAACAGCATTGTGCAGCTGTTTAGAGGAATGTGTAACACACCTGTGTTTCATAAGATAATATTTCATAAGATTTGTGCCCAATGCAAACACGTCCTCCATAAATGACTGAAAATAGAAAATCATCTTTCAAATGCTATCAAATCACAACATGATACTTATGCTGTTATTATTCACTAAATGAAAGACTCGGTCACTTCTCATATCTTCACTTAACACAGGCTATTATCATTGCCCCATCTTCTGTGACTCATTCTAGTTTGGAGATGGAGCATCAGCCCATAATTTACAAATGAATTAAGAAGAAACTTGTTGCACTGTTTGCAAGAACAAGCAGTTGGAAAATTTTCCCCATAGGTAAAATGCAACAATAAGAGTGATTTGTGGATTTTTTTTCTATTTGACTGAATTCCCCACAATCTGGGTTGTAAATTAATACAAATATAACTCTTAAATGTTCCAGCGCACAGCAGTATAGTATTTGTGAATTGTAAATTCCTGTTTGTCTGTGATCATTTACACAGAATGATACATGCAGAATTCTTGTAGTACTGGAAATCAGTGCAAAACAGACATTGCACCTTGAACAATGACCTGAATTTCAATAAAAATTGCATTTTGGGCCTTTACTCCATATATCCAGTGATCCAATGTTTTGATGAGCTTACCAGTTGAATCCTTAAAAAGAAGTTGCTTCTGCGGCTGAGCTGGCCCAGATCTTGACATTGGGAAGGCTAATGTAAAGTCAGGAACCCAACCTGGCAGCAACACACAATACAGTTGTGGAGTCAGAAGGTTCTGAGTTCAAATCTATTCCAAAGACTTACGCAAAATATCTAGACAATACTATGTCATATAACCTGTGATGCCAACCACTGCCAACAGGTGGTTGGATAGATAGTGCCCAACATTGTCATGAGGTTGAATTTGTCCTTTATTGTGTACAGGCCATACCCAGGCAATTTTCTACATTTTCGGGTAGATGCCAGTGTTGCAGATGTTCTGGAACTGCTTGTCCAGGCGCATGGCAAATTCTAGAGCACAGGCCTTCAGCTCTATTGCCAGAATATTGTCAGGGTCCATAGCCTTTTCAGTATCCATTGCCTCCAGCTGTGTCTTGTTATTACGTTAGTAATATTGTTGCAACTCCACCACCCTTTTGCACTGATGTGCTGATCTGTTCCATCATTGAGGATGGGGATATTTATGGAGCATCCTCCTCTTGTGAGTTGCTTAATTGTCCACCAAAATTCATGATTGGGTATGGCAGGACTGCAGGGTTTGGATTTGATCTGTTGGTTGTGGAATGCTTGACTCTATCACTTCCTGCTTATGCTATTATTCCTGATTTGTAACGTTAGAAATGTTGCTAATGTTTCATTTTTTAAAAATTAATTTTGAATTATGAGCTGGAAACAACTTGTGATCTTTGGGACAGCTTGTGTTAAAAGAAAAGAGAACAGACTAAACAAGCCTTGTTTGTTTATGAGGCCAGGCCTGGATGCTAATTGCAGGGTCAGTACCTGGGAATTGGCTCAGATACATCCGGAAGGGACCCTATATTTAAGTAGGGGACAGTTGTCGAATGGTAATTGAGGCCATGGGAAGAGTTGATCAGTGTATCAGGGCAGAACCAAAGTTAAAGTTTTTTTCAAAACTGTGTTCTCTGAGAGATTCTTCTGGACTACTGCAAAGACAGCATGAAGATTTAAAATCTGCTGCACCAGCTTCCAGAAGCCCGAGGGGTAGAAAGCAGAATTAATTGTATTGCTGCCTTTGCCAGGGTGAACTGAGAAGATGACCCTGATCAATATTTCAGAAACAGCAGCCAAGGAGTCTATATTTATACCTGAAAAACAAC